TCCCTGCTGGAAACGGGGGGAATTTTTCTTGACCTTCACTGTGAGAACCTGGTACAGCTTCAGATAAAACCCGTAAAAATGTGGGGCTCCCCCCTTAAACTGGGTCTCCTGGAGTTTTTAGCTCTCAGACTGTCCACATTGGAGAATCATGTGTGTTGTGATTGTCTCTGTCCACCTGCCTGTCTTCCCAGTTATGGAGACAGTGATTTGCTCTGTGACCTGTATTCTCTGTAGGATCTACGAAGAGTAACTGATTTTCAGTTTGTCCCGCTTTTCACTTGTTAGGGTGGAGTAATGCCTCACAGGCTCCTTCCATGCCAAACCAGAGGCTAGAGGCCTTGAGTATTTCCTTTTCTACACCGTATTTTTTCCCCAATTTCCATGATATTCCCTTCTTTCAGTACTCTTAACAGCTCTAACTTTTCTTCTGTCTTCCTCTCCACCCTTTATCTTGGGAGTTCAGGGATGCTCTCCTTACCCCACGTCACCCTTCCCCGATGGCCCCATCTCCTTCTACAGCTTTAGCTCACATATGAACGATGGTCTCCTCAGTCTCAATGTCCTGAGTGCCTGACATCCTGTGGGCACCTCCAAGTCAGTGTCTCCAAGCTGAATTTATTTTTTGTGAGCCCTCCATTCTTCTCCCACAAACACTCCCTTCCTCCTTTCTTTCTTTTTTTGTGTTCACTGCTTTGATTAGATGACTCCTCGATTCTGTCTACCCATCTGCTCATGCCAGAACCCTGCTTCTAGACCATTCTTTCTCACTCACCCTCCAAATCCAGTCACTCACACAGTCCCGAAACTGTTTCAACTAAAAGAAAATTCAAATCTGCCTCCTCATCGTTGACCCCACTGCTCTTGCCCTCCTTCAGACCCTTATTAGTTTACCGTCTGCTATCCCCGCCACTCCTGCATTCAGCCCTCCATGCTGTCAACCTTGCAGCATCCCAGAAAGCATCAGATTGCTTCTCTCTTGCCTACAGAAGTGATCGCCCACGTCTCCTGATCTGTAACCAGCCCATTGAGGATGTGGACATAAAACTATTAGAAATTCCATTTAGATTTATTTCCCTTTATAAAAATGTTTCTTTCTTGTTTGGAAATGTAGAACAATAGCACATACATATAATTTATACATGTACTTACATTAAGGTTGAATACTCAAAAATTATTTTGTTGCTAGGGGTACATAATAAAAAACTTGAGAGATCATGGTCCTACAATATAAAATCCCAGTTCCTTAGGTTGGTGTCACAGGTCCTCAGTTGTCTGGACCTGACTGCTTGTGTCCAGGCGCCTCTCCGTCTCCTTTCCCATTTATCCCCCGTATCATGAATACTCGTATTTAACCACCTGGTTACTAGAAGTTACCGGGCTATTTCATGCCTTCATACTGTTGTCACGCTGGTGCTTCTCCCTGGAATTTCCTTCTTCCTTCTCCCTTTCCTCATCCCTCATCCTCACCCCACCCAGCAAACTCCTTCTTCTTAATTTCTTTCTGAGCCCCCCTCCCTGTTCTTACCCCCACAAGTGAAGTCATCGTTTCTATTGCTGTCCCACTGGGCAGTGCTTGTGAACTTGTTCCTTCAACAGTGTCTATTGAGCACCTATTCTGCCCACTGTTCTAGGCTCAGGAGACATGTAGTCAGTTCACTTCCCTGCCTCCTTCACTGTGAGCTCCTTAGAGATAGACTCTCTTCCCATTCCTCACCTGCAACGTCCAGCTGGTGTGTTGATGGCCTGCATGAGCGAATGAATCAGTGAGTGATGACGCTGAACCACTACTGTCTCTCTCAACACTGAGATTCTGTTTTTCTGAAAAATTGATCATGGTCTCATTGAATGCAGAGCAGCTGTAGGGATCGCCCTTCTTCACAAGCCGCACCTACACTCAAGTAACCATGTCTAAGGGACCTGCAGTTGACATTGAGCTTGGCACCACCTACTCTTGTGTAGGTGTCTTCCAGCATGGAAAAGAGGAAATAATTGCCAATGATCAGGGAAACTGAACCACCCAAGTTATGTCGCCTTTACTGATATCGAATGATTTATTGATGATGCCACAAAGAATCAAGTTGCAATGAACCCCACCAACACAGTTTTTCATGCCCAACACCTGATTGGACGTAGATTTGATGATGCTGTTTTTCAGTCCTATGTGAAGCATTGGCCCTTCATGGTGGTGAATGATGTGCTGGCAGGCCCAAGGTTCAAGTACAATACAAGGCAGAGACAAAAAGTTTCTATCCAGAAGAAGTGTTACCTGTGGTTTTGACAGAGATGGAGGAAATCGCAGAAGCCTATGTGGGAAGACTTTGACCAGTGCTGTCATCACAGTACCTGCTTACTTCAGTGACTTTCAGCGTCAGGCCATCAAAGATCCTGGAACTATTGCTGGTCTCCATGTACTTAGAATCATCAGTGAGCTAACTACTGATGCTGCTGTTGCTTATGGCTTAGACAAAAAGGTTGGAGCTGAAAGAAATGTGCTGATCTTTGACTTGGGAGGTGGCACTTTTGATGTGTCAGCTCTCACAGTTGAAGTTGGAATCTTTGAGGTCAAATCTACAGTTGAGGACACCCATTCAGGTGGAGAAGACTTTGACAACCAAGTGGTCAACCATTTTATTGCAGAGTTCAAGCGCAAGCATAAGAAGGACGACAGTGAGAGCAAGCGGGCTGTCCGTCATCTCTATACTGTTTGTGAACATCCTAAGCATATTCTCTCTTCCAACACCCAGACCGATATTGAGATTGACTTACTCTATGAAGGAATCGATTTCTATCCCTCCATCACCTGATTTGATGAAGTGTCTGATTTGAAGAATTGAATGCTGACCTTTTCTGTGGCACCCTGGACCCTGTAGAGAAAGCCCTTGGGGATGCCATGCTCGACAAGTCCCACATCCATGATATTGTCCTGGTGGGTGGTTCTACCCATATCCCCAAGACTCAGAAACTCCTACAGGACTTCTTCAATGGAAAAGAGTTGAATAAGGGCATCAGCCTTAATGAGGCTGTTGCTTATGGTGCAGCCCTCCAGGCAGCCATCCTGTCAGGAGACAAATCTGAAAATGTTCAAGATTTGCTGCTGTTGGATGTCACTCCTCTTTCCCTTGGTGTTGAAACTGCTGGTAGGGTCATGACTGTCCTCATCAAGCACAACACTACCATCCCTACCCAGCAGACACAGACCTTGAGTACTTACTCTGACAACCAGCCAGGTGTGCTCATTCAGGTTTATGATGGTGAGCTGGCCATCATCAAGGATCACAACCTGCTTGGTGAGTTTGAACTCACAGGCATACCTCCTGCACCTCATGGTGAACCTCAGATTGAAGTCACTTTTGATATTGATGCCAATGGCATGCTCAGTGTCTGCTGTGGATCAGAGACCAGGAAAAGAGAACAAGATCACCATCACTTATGATAAAGGTCATCGATAAAGGAAGACATGGAGCGCATGGTCCAGGAAGCTGAGAAGGACAAAGCTGAAGAAGAGAAGCAGAGGGACAAGGTGCCTTCCAAGAGGTCACTTGAATCCTATGCATTCAACATAAAAGCAACTGTTGAAGATTAAAAACTTCAAGGCGAGATCAATGATGAGGACAAACAGAAGATTCTTGACAAATGCAATGAAATAATCAACTGGCTTGCTAAGAATCAGCCTGCAGAGAAGGAAGAATTTGAACATCAGCAGAAAGAGCTGGGCAAAGTCTGTAACCCCATCATTACCAAGCTGTGCCAGAGGGAGGGAGGCAGGCCCGGAGGGATGCCTGGGGTCTGGTGGAGCCCCTCCATCTGGTGGTGCCTCTTCTGGGCCCACCATCGAAGAAGTCAGCTAAAGCCAAACTTGGGCATATGGAAGGACCCAAATTTGTAGCAAATTCCATGGCAGTTTTAAAGTAGAGCTGCTCTATAGTAAATAGCTGGGCATTCTTGATACTTGAATATGGAATATGTGCACAAGGACAGGAAATAATGATGCACTTTACAAGCACTGTATTGTAAAGTGGAAAATGTGATGTCTTAAATAACACTATTTAAAATGGGCACCTTAACAAAAAACCCAAAATTGATCAGGAACTAAGTTGTCAATTTGTAGATTTCTATAGCTGAAATTTCATTTGTGGTATAACTTATGCTCATGCACTAAATCGAATCACCTGTTTAGTAATAAGCATAAGTTTGTATATATTCTATATGTATGTTTTGTTAATCTCAGAAAGTGGAAATAGAATAAGTACCTACTGTTATTCTAGATCCGTTCATTCTGGCTGTGGTTATAAAGCTTGGCCTGACTTAATGACTCAGAAATGAGCATTTACATCACATGTTTTGGATGTGCTTTGGTTTATGTTGGAATAGGGCATAAAAAAAGTTGTTTTTGGATGAAGAATAATTAACCTTGCCAGCATGCTGTCCTTCATTTAAAATATAGAACTACAAAACAGATAAATTAAGATTTAATTGTTTATATTACAGAGATGTTTTCCTTTTACAATATTTTACCGGATATGAACTTTAAGTTCACTTGGTGTGCCTCAGGATTTGTATTTGTTTAACATTTATGTGCTATTAAGTCACAACTTTTTTAGATTATAACACATTTCATAAAGTGAGGTTTACCATTACAGCTCAAACGGTCAGCTTTTGTACATAAGCATGTTTAAAATAAAAATTGTGTGTAGTGTGGGTAATTGAGATAGAGTACTTAGTTGAGTCAGAGAGAGGCTAAATAACCTGAAAAGAATGAAGATTAGGGAATGGTATGTCGACCTTAATTACTCGTATTACTCTTACTACTAGTAATAATAAGACTGCTTTTCTTCTGAAGAAAACTGAATCTGGAATTCCCTTAAAAGATAGAAATACACCTTTATGTTTCAATCGTTTTTAAGCTACTGTGGTTCAAAATTTAAATGAAAAGCTATCTGAATTTACCTTAAGAAACTGAATTAAACAAAAATCTTTTGAACTTCTTCTCTTTCTCTTAGGTATAACATTGAGCCCAGTTTATACTGCCCATTTTTCTCCCTTGGAGCGTGCATGGAAGGCCTGAATATTTTGTTAAACAAACTGTTTGGGATTTCGTTATATGCAGAGCAGCCTGAAAAAGGAGAGGTGTGGTGTGAAGATGTTCGAAAACTGGTGAGCATCCCAGTTCAAGTAAAGTTTTGTTACTTTATCTCGATGCAGTGTGTCAGTGTGTCTCATCTTATTCCCTGCTTCACGAAACATCCAAATCACCACTTCTGATTTAGGACACTGTATAAAAGAAACATTGTTCTCTAAAATCAGTTGATGCCTGAAATGAATGTAAATGTATAACAGCAAAGTTCTCTGAAAAAAAAAATTTTAGGAACTTGCTAGAAGGTTGAATCTTCATATGTTGACAAATTGTAGTTAAAGGGACATTTGTCATTACTTTGTATATTCCTGCTGTGCTGAATATCCTTTTGGGTTAATTCCAGAATTCACTGCATCAATCACCTTTCCTTTCCTTCCAGCCCCTTCCCATCTTGTAGAAGTTTATATTTGCATCAGATTTTAATTTATAGCCTGTCTTCTGATTTGACTTCTTTGATAATAACTTCAAGCCTAGAATCCACCTGTCTCCTATTAGGGCCTACTTTATTTGCGGTGTGAATATTTTAATTTTTTTTCCTGGTAAGACTCTGGGCATTTATTGACCCTGTGTTTCTCACAGAGGTGGTTGTTACAGTGTTTACNTGTCACTGGCCCTCATGTGGGATCCAAACCGGGGCCCTGCTGCTCAGAGCTGGTGTCCCAAGCCAACTCTTAACCAACGTACCACTCGGCCGGCCCTGTGTTGCCTTTTCTCTCTGTTGATGGTGTCCTTTGATATACAGAAATTCTTAATTTTGATGTAGTTAAATTTATGTATTTTTTTTCTATTGTTGCCTGTGCTTTTGCTGTCAAAGCCAAGAAATCAATGCCAAATCCAATGTCACGAAACTTTTCCTGTATGTTTTTTTCTAAGAGTTTTATAGTTTTAAGTCTTAAGTTTGGATCTTTGATTCATTTTGAGTTAATTTTAGTAGATGATACAAATTTTTAAAAAATATTTTACTAATTCTGAAACTGAGATCTCTTGTTAGCTATCTATTTATGTTTAACAGCATAGTGTGCCCCTCTCCCCACGTATTATAAAATCATAGGTACTTAAAAAAATTAATGTGTTCTTGGATTCAAGGAAATAAGATAGCCTTAGCCCCTACACCAAAGATGAGAATGCCAAGCATTTCCATTCCATAGTCTGAATGCCTGCCCCTTGGCCCCATCCCTGAACATCTCCATGGGGAAGCTAGGCTGTCCCTCACTCAGATTATTTGGAGTATCCAGAGTTTTTCTCCTCCTTGCCTCACTACCTCCAGATACTGATCCCTCGAGGAAGCAGGATCTCTTTGTCTCTGCCCAAGACTTTTGATCTGTTCACAAGTTTTAGGGGCATTTCTAAAAGGGAGCACATCTCATAACTTCTGCTTTCCATTTCTAAAGTTGTCTCATCTCTTTCACACTGAATTTTTCCCAGGACTGTGTAATTCTGTGTATCTGAATGGAACTAGCCAAGCTCCTGTGTAGACCTGGGGCTTGATTACCCACCTACAGCTGTTTCCTCAATGTTCAACACTTGTAACACCAAATGTGTGGGGTTTTTCCCACACTGACCAATTCTCCAGTTCTCGGCAGACACCAACTAGGTGTCCTGCCATCTTAATTCTGACAGTCAGTGCTCGCAGTCAGCGCAGACCCCGCAGGTGAAGGGCTCAATTCCACCAGACTGCTTCCTCCGCCCTCCACCTCAGATGCCATTGCAAGACCTGTGCTTCTGCCTGTCCGGTATAAATTGAAGGTTCCCGTGACCCCCCCACTCAGGTTTGATAATTTGAAATAATGGCTCTTAGAATGCAGGAAAACAATTTACTTACTAGATTACCAGTTTATTATAAAAGGATACAACTCAGGAAGAGGCGAGAGCTTCCACGCTCTCTGGACNGGTAGGTGTAGCCCACCATCAAACAGGCAATCTTGTTGTTACACCAGCAGGCCATCCTGCCACCTGTTGGCAGCTCAGTGGCAGCTCAGCTTGGGCACAGCATCACTGGCCTATGTGGGAATCAAACCAGTGGCCCTGTTGCTCAGAGCTCGCGCTCTTAAGTCAAGTCTTAACCAACTGAGCCACTCAACTGGCCCACCAATTCACTTCTTACGTGGGATATGTGAGGTTCATTCCTTTACTTTGGCTGTGTACTGGCAGGTCAACCATCTTCAACAGTTTTAGGCAATTTGATGGGAAATGTGAAGAGTTCAGATTATAAGCTATAACAGAAATAATGGTACCTTATATGTGAATAATGAATCACAATTTCAAAGCATTTTAACAGACATGAGCTAATGAAATCTGGGCAAATGCTCTGGGATTGGACAGGGTAGAGAGGAAGCTCATAGAGGCAAACTGGTTTCCAAGATGGGCTGGCTGGTCGGTGTTGAAGGTGGGACCAGAGTCTAGGCCATCGCTCACTGAGTCCTGGGTTCTTCTTCCTCTTTGCTTGAATGGCTGGTGGCGAGTCCAGGCCAGTGATTCGGAGCTCTGGCTCCTAGGGTTCCACCTGGGTTCCAATCCAAGATGCAGCAATCCTACCTATGTGTCGTTGGGTGTATATGACTTCACATTTCCAAGACCCAGTTTCAGTTATGTTATATGAAAGGTAGGATTCCTGCCTCATAGGGTTATTGTGAAGAATAAGTGATAAAATGTAAGTGAATCACAGCCTGTTCCAGAAGAGTTACTTCAGATCCCTTGCTTTATGAGAGTTTAGAGCTCATCACTTTCAAGGAATAAAGACAGTAGGTATGGAAAGTGTTTTCTAGTTCATTGAAGGGGTTCAATAAATATTAGCGTCCTTTCCCTTAGCAGATCGATGCCTGTCCCTTCCTATTTTCCTGTGGACATCATGAGGGCATGGATCTAAGCTCTGTAATGATGCTGTTTTCACCACATCATGTCAATACATATTTTTGGAGTGAGTGAATGAATTAATCAACATAAGCTCAATGGATTACTGGTATTTTTAAAACATAAAATATTGGCAAAATGAAAAGTTGGAAAAAATTTATGTCTATAGCAAAATAAGTAGAATAAGAATACCATTAAGTTAAAATTTGAACTCATACATTTTGGTATAAGTTTATGTTGATTAAGACTATTTTACCCAAGACTTTTTTCTGTTATGTTTTCTGATTCTCATAGGATTGCCATTTTACAATCCGTGGAGGCAGGTTAAAAGAAGATGGAAACTATCAACTCCCAGTCGTAGTTCTTATGCTGAATCTTCCCCATTCCTCAAGGAATTTACCAACTTTATTGACTCCCGGAATGATGGAAAATCTTTTTCATGAAATGGGCCATGCGATGCATTCTATGCTGGGACGTACTCGTTACCAACACGTCACTGGTGAGTCCTGAAGAGTTGACGTTTATTTAATACAGTTCTTTAAAAACTTGTATTTTATTTTGAATTGGAAAAAATGCTTTTTATTTAGAAAATCTGATCATTTCATATTGTCCTGTGGTCATTTATCACAGATGGCCTCATCTTGTCCTCCCAATTGTTGGGCAGCCCAATCCTCTTAGATGTGTTTCCTTCCTTGCTAACAGTTCTCACTGAGGACTAAGTGTCAGTTGCCTGTCTTTGGGGTTTGTAGCAATGTATGTTTTGTATGTTTTATATGGAATTTAAGTGTGTGGCTATAAGTGCGTGTGAATAATACCTCGCACAGAGTTAGTATGTGAATGAACATTGCCTATCCAAAATCAGTTAGAAAACATATTAAAGCATGTTGAAAAAGTAAGGTAAGGTACTTTTTATTTCTCTTATACTTTTCCCTATATAAAATTATAGTTTTTCATGCTGATCTATGCCCATCTTGGTGATATTATAGATTTTGCTCTTAGTTGTCTTATGTCTAAGTCTTAAGCTCACTATCAGGTGTGGTCAGCTTTAGACCGCCTGGTAAATTGTCCGCATTCAGTATTTATTAACTAACTTTATACACACAGTATTTGGGGGGAGGAGAAGGTATTTGAAAAGATTGCAGATGGGCTAAACAGAATCATAAAATGTTAGTAAAAAGTTCTTATGTGATTTGTTGCTTTAAGTAATTTTGAGTTTAAAATGTTGCTTTTCTGCACTGAGGACTGAATGTTATAAGATGCAATCAATGGATAAAAGAAAGTACTTTTAAAACAAATGAAGGATAAAAGCATTTGGTGGTGGAGTGCTGTGAATTAAATACAAATGCTATATTAAATGTCAGAATGTTTTAATTTGTGTTTCGTGTATAGTTCAGCATAGCTGAAGACAGGCTTGTTGGTAGAAGGTGTGAACCGCTGCTTTACAAGGTGTTTTATCCAGCTGTGCAAATATTTTGCTTTACTTTTGATACATAGGAAAATGTATAGGATTATAATAAACTTTTCTGCAAATATGTGCAATAATTTTATAGAAATGAAATACTGATTTAATGAATTAAAGCTTATCATAGTTCATCAGAAGTCCAATAAAAATTTTAAAAGAATGCATAAAAAAGTTAGATGAATATCTTGCTTTGATTCGTGCCAACTTTTCTTCTTTTTCCCCCATTTTAGGGACCAGGTGCCCCACTGATTTTGCTGAAGTTCCTTCTATTCTGATGGAGTACTTTGCAAATGATTATCGCGTGGTTAACCAGTTTGCCAGACATTATCAAACGGGGCAGGTAGGAAAAACTAGTATTGTAGTACAGTCCTTTGAGTTGTGGTCGTCAGCGTTTATGACCTGCTGGGTCATGTTGAAGTCGGTGCTTTTTTCAGAACTGTCACCCTCTCTCAGTACCAGAAACCTTCTACCGGTTTTTTTTTTTAATTCCCTTTCTATTTTGGAGGTGGGGGAGTAGGGGACTAGTCTAAAGAGTCATAGTCACAGCATATAGTCAGGTGTTGACAAATAGCTGCCCTTAATTATGTGCCAGATAATATCCTGTGTAGCCCTCATGGACATCCCTGAGGAAAGCACTTTAGTCCTGTTTTCCAGAGATGAAAACTAACTCTCTAGCAAAAGAGGCCTTCAGAGCTGCCTTGCTTCAAAAAAGCCTTTCCTCTTTCCTCTTCCTTTATGATTCTGAATATTTGTTCTCTTGGTCTGAATTTTTATGGTGTTTCGTAAAACTGAACCACATTGCCATATTTTCCCAATATGCTTAGGGTCTATATGATGATAAGTCTGAAAATTCCTTAATATTAAAGTTTAGATTTAAATAGTGCTTTATAATGTTAAAAAATTTTAAATTCTGGAAAGTAGGATTAAATTGAGATACCTTATAGTAAGTTAAACATAACTATCAACACTGTATAATTTACTGTCCATGTATATTTCAGAAAATATATTTTTTCCCTACTCTCAGAACTTGGATTATATAATATTACATTGGCTAGTGTTTTCCCCCCTCAGACTTCCTTTCTGAGGGCAGGTGTAAAATTATATTCATCTTCGCACCGTCAGCCTTTAGAATCATGCCTAGCACATAAAAAGCACTGTAAGAAATTAAATGAAGGAATGAATGGAATAAAAAAAAGAAGGGCCCAAACCACCTTTATCTGTGACTCTTCTGATTATGTCCCCAGAGGCATAATGTGTTTCGGTCAAAATTTTTTTTTTAATTGACTTTTTCTAACCATTATTGTCAACTGCAGAATAATGGATGAGTTTCTGGATAACTAATCTGAGTTAGTCATCATTATAATCTATCAGGTATTGGATGACAAAATTGAAATATTTATAATCCAGTTAGTTACCCATCTATTGCAAAGAATTGCTCTGGAAATTTTGGCAACTCAGCCAATAACATATTATATAACCATCAAATAATAGCGTGCTCCATCCATGGCTCCACATTTGGGGATTTGGGAGTGCTTAGGAAGACCTGATTAAATTCCCCCTTTCTAATTGCTCCCCTGCCCGTCCTCAGAGGTAGCAGAGCATGAGGCGTGTTGGAGCAGAGCCACACACACAGTGCGTGGACCATGAAGGAGACCAGCTAACTGCTGAGGACATTGGAAGAGGCTTCATCTTGGAAGCGCTGGGGGACTAGGGCTTGGAAAAAAATATGTCAAGGGGGCAGTTTGTCAGTCAGCTATCAGCAGCTCTCATCCATCTCATTAAAAGTATTTATTGAGGAAACACTAAGGACATAAATAGGTCCTTCAGTCAGAAAGTACTTGTTGAGTTTTCATTATGTACCAAGCACTGTTCTCAGCATCCGAAAAACAGTCAAAAATAAGTGAGACAACAGCCCAGTACTCACTGTGGCTCTTAGGGGAACTAGGGCAGAGCTCAGGACAAGGTAATTCCAGCCAGAAGGAAGAGGCATTGGTGCGATGCTGGGTGTGGCAAGAGTAGAAGGAAGAAGGGCGAGAGAGACAGAAAAAGATGCAGGAATGTTCTTGTTCCTAGAATTTGCTCCCCGTCTGTCTCTGCATTCTTCTTGCCCTCACATACCTTTTAATCCCAGCTCGCTTACTAGACCACCTTTTGTGACTGGAGCATTTTCTTAGCATAGTTTATACTGGGCTTTGCTGTCACACTTCCTCTTGGGAGTTGTGTTTACTCCTGGCCACTGACTGTCATACAACTCTTCCCCAACCCATTTCCTCATTAGCCTTCGGCCGACAGTGGCACAACTTCCGTGGACTCCACCTGTGAACTTGTGGCCTTGCTCAGCCCTTAGTAGGGTTTAAATGAAGGCCTGCAAGCATGTAGTCAAGCAGTAATGAGGGTAGAGCTAAGGCACTGGCAGTGTTGGCTAGAAGAAGCAGAATTCAAGAGCTATTGGAAACTNCTTGTCACTATATTTGAAGAAACAAAGATGATCTCACTGTCTCTTCGCTACGTTTTGTGAGCATCGGCTCGGTGTGACGGTGTTACTGAAAGCATAGAATGGAGCACATTTCATCGCTGTCCTTCATTACCTAAATATCTATCTCTTTGTAAATAGTGTACTTAAGAAATTATAGAGATTGATAAGATGCAGAGATATAATGACAAGAAAAACTGGTAACAGAAGAGCAGAAGGACAGAGTGCAGAGGGGAGAAGTTTCCCCAGAGCAGGACGTGAGCCCACGCAGGCAGCACTTCTTGCGTTTGGTTCACTGCTGTATCCCAAACACCTTGAACAGTTCCTGGCACCAAGTAGGTGCTTAATAGATGCTTGTTGACTTAATGAATATATGCATGCAGGACGTTTTAAAACATACAGTTCAGCTTCTCTTTGGCAGAATTGTTGAGTTGTGACAAGACAAAGAAGGCAAGATGGAGACAAGTGCTTGAGCTCTCCCCTATGAGCCGGGTCTCTCTCATAGGCCCAGTTTTGGAGAGGGGCATCCATGAGAATATTACCGATCTTCAACAGAGGCTAGAAGCTGTTTCATTTTTTCTGTGTTTGAGGGCTATAGCTTGTATGAACATACATCATTACATTCAGAGATTTGAAGGAGAAATAATTTTGCTGCTAAATTGTCCAGCCAGCACTTACTCCCAGCTACTTTTGTTGGTTTCTGAAGTCTGCAGAGCTGTGTGCAGTAGCGGTGTCGTAGGGAGCGGAGGGCCCGAATGAGGAGGGTTTCCTCTGGACAGAATTCCCAAATCAAAAGCGTTGAGAGATGACAGGGAAATAGAAGGTATTTCCAGGTAATGTGGGCTGTAGAAAGCAATGAAATGTCTATAATGGTGGCTGTGCATGAGTTATATAGAGATTCTTATGTTAGGGATATTTTTCCACTTGTAGAGTTTCTGATGGCCTCAGTCACCACTCAATTAAAAAATTTTTTTTCCAGGCGGTGGTTCATGAATCTGAAGGATTGTTGGGGTACATTTACTGTGACTTTTTTCAGCGAGCAGACAAACCACATCAGGTGATTCTTTACTTACAATCTGGCCTCTCTAGAAGTGATAATCAGTTAATTTATGTTAATGTGAACTTTACATCTCATTTTTATAGTTCCCTAATATTTAAAAGGCATTAATGATAGTTACTAAAATATATAAATTTGAAATTAGGATAGAATTTAAACATAATAAATGTTATGAAATAATTACATACGTCTGTATATGTCACTTTTATCTGGGTCATGGTAATAATGATAGCTGACATTTTATGAGCCCTTCTATGTCATATCACATCTTTGAATGTTAACCTCAACGTTTTGAACTAGGCACTGACATTAGGAGGAAACCGAGATCAGAAAGGTTAAGTTACTTGCCCAAAGTTACACAGTTAGAAATGCTAGGATTTCAACCCAAATATTCTGACTAAAGCCATAGCTCTTAAGTACTTTCCATACTTGATAATTAACCTAATTTAAAATTGCAGAAAATACAGTATCCCTACCCCTCCTCCCCGCATATGCAGGGGCTCGAAGAATCCAGTGGATGCCTGAAACCAGAGATAGTACCAAACTCTATATATACTATGTTTTGTCGTATACATACATATCTATGATAAAGTTTAATTCATTGTAAGAGATTAGCAACAACTAATAAAAATAGAAACAATTATAATAATATACTGTTATAAAACTTCAGTGAATGTGGTCTGTCTCTCTCTCTCTGATAACTGAGGAGCCCACTAAATGACTAACGAGCAGATAGTGTATACAGCGTGGAGACGCTGGACAAAGAGATGATTCATGTCCTGGGAGGGACAGAGCAAGACAGTGCACGATTTCATCATGTTACGCAGGACAGTGTGCAGTTTAAAATTTTTCCATTTAATATTTTTGGACCACAGTTGACCATGGATAACTGAAACTGTGGAAAGTGAAACCGTGGATAAAGGGGGACTACTGTATGTCTATATGGAAACCTTCCCATCACCAATTCACTTCTTTTTTTTTT